CCTTGAGCCGCACCAGAGTCTCATTAAAACGTGCCCCATAAATGTTAAAAAATTTACACATAAAAAAATTCCATGCATGAAACTGAAACCGTACGTTTTACAGCCTTAGTTTGAAATCTTGCATAATATATAAAACCTTGGACCTGCACCAGGGGCCTGTAAATCAGGTTTTATAAAACAAAAAGCTTTTACCTTTCAAAGGGGTTTGGGGAACTTGCAAATTTTACAAACTTTACCAACTGCCAGTCAGAGGCTGCTGGGCCCAAAGAAAGGATCTAGGACCAGGTAAGAAACAGACTTGGTGAGCACCAGGGCTGTGGGAACTGGAGCCCCCCTCTCCCCAGGGGGTCCAGCTTAACCACTTTGAGTGGAAAGCTACCTCCATGGCATGGAAACTGGAGACAGGGACTTAGAGAGTGTCAGAGTGTGGGCTGGGCCAGGGGGTGGGGAGATTTTATTAGAGGCACTCTCTTACTTGTAAGTGAGGGCTTTATTGCCACCTGGAAGAAGAGGTGGGGAAACTGCAGGAGGAGCATAAAATCTAAAATCAGGAGTCAGTGACTTGGGTTCTGGTCCTGACAAGTCAGTTCTCTTTTCTGGATGTCAGTGTCTTTGGACTTGCTTCTCTCTGGGGTTAGGTCCCCCTCCCCGGCATCAACTCTCTGTGAGCTCCACCCCACCCCCCACTCCCCGCAGCAGGGGAGCTGTGCAGCGGCAAGCTCACAGGGAGGGAAGCTCGCTCAGAAATCTACACTAGGATGCTCTCTCTGATCTTTGGGGCAGCTTGGGAGAAGTGACTCAGCCCTCCCATGGGGATTTGTTTGGAAAAGCGACTCTAGAAGACTGCAGAGAGCAAGAGAGAGACTGGCAATGCGCGGGAGGAGAGGAGGGAGGCCCGCAAGGAATTGGGAGGAGTGAGTCCCAGCGGACCCAGGACAGCTGGGCGGGGCCAAAGCTGCCCACTGGCCCTGGGTAGGGAGGAGAGTAGGGGGAGGGACCTTCCGCGTTTGTGGGGATCCAGGTGCCCTCCTGACAATCCCATCTACGAAAGTCAGTATTCAAGGGCAAAGGAAAGCCACCCTGACACACGTATATATAAAAAATAAATCTCTCAATTATCTCAGCTCATTTGCTTGGGGTCCCTCATTTTATGTCCCTGCTCGGCTGCGCAGTATATCTGTCCGGATAAAGAGTTACAGTCCGTTGGGCTACGTGTGCGGGGTTGTAAAAAATACAGATGCCAAATTAACTGGCTGTGGCACTCGGCAGCTGATTGAGCTGGTAATAACGCGATCTGACCTTTTTCTAATTTCTAATTATGTGCATCTCGGCTGTGCTGGCGACATGATTCTTGTTTTAATGATGGCTCCTGTGCTTGGTCTCTTCATCTCCCCACCTGACACAGAACCAGGAGCCGGGGTGGCAAAGGGCACTGTTTGACACCCCTCCACCCCACCCCTAATTTCAGCCATTAAATCTCTTTGGTGGCCAGGAGGTTAGGTCAGGGAGCTGGAACACCTTGCCATGATGATATTGCATTTGAGATTAATCTCCTGAGTGCCAGGCATTTGTAAAGACCAATTCCATGAGCCACCTCATTAATTTTTTTTTTAAATTACAGTCACATGAGATAGGTATATTAGTCCTACAGATGAGGAAACCGAGCTTCAAAGCAGTTCAGCCAGCCATCAAAGTCACAAACAGTTAATGGGGACGCTAGGCTCATCTTTTGTCTTTCAAGTGCTGTTTCAAACCTCCCAATTTACATAATCAACCAATCGTTGACTAACTCATCTAGACAAATCAGGTCCATGAGACAAGATGGACCTCCTAAAGATGCTCCACCAGCTGGACCACTCCCAGCCCAGCTATCTGATACAGAAGCCCAGGGGACACCAGAAGCTTGGGACCACTAGGGTATCTTCCACAACATTCATGTCCCTAGTAAAGGCCTGGCATATAGCAGACACTCAAGCCAGTTTTATTGGATTGAATCAAAAGATCTGATTCTTTGAACAGAATGCTGAGAGACCTGAGCAATACTGGCAAGGGCAGAACATAGCCACGTTTTGATTTTTCTAGGCTGTGCTAGAATGGGAGGTTGTCTTCAGTGGGTCTTACACCTGGAAGGTGGTGGTGGGATAGATATGTGAGGTTTGTTTCTCCAGGACTCCTGCCTTGTAAGAAGGTTTAAATTCCTTCATATTCTTCAGTCCAATTTTAGGTATTTCCTTACCCCAACTTGGGCCTCTGTTTTTGTTTGTTTGTTTTGTTTTGTTTTTCCTTCTCCTTTCCTTCCTTCCCTTTCTCTCTCTCTCTTGACCTTCCTCCCTCCCCCTCTTTCTTTATTTTTTGCCTACCGGGGTGCTTAACCACTGAGCCACTGACCCACATCCCCAGCCCTTTTAAATTTTTTTTGGGGGGGGGCAATTATCAAGAATACAAGCAACAATAAAGTTGGCGAGGATGCGGGGGGAAAGGTACACTCATACACTCCTGGTGGGACTATAAATTGGTGCAACCATTATGGAAAGCAGTATGGAGATTCCTCAGAAATTTGGAATGGAATTTGAACCAGCTATTCTACCCTTTGGTTTATACTCAAAGGACTTAAAATCCGCATACTACAATGACATAGCCACATCAATGTTTATAACAGCTCAATTCACAATTGCCAAAATATGGAACCAACCTAGATGCTCTTCAACAGATGAATGGATAAAGAAAATGTGGTATATATACACAATGGAATATTACTCAGCCTTAAAGAAAAATGGAATTATGGCATTTGCTGGTGAATGGATGGAACTGGAGACTATCATGCTAAGAGAAATAAGCCAGTCCAAAAAAACCCAAAAGCCAAATGCTCTCTCTGATATGTAGATGCTAACCCACAATAAGGAGGGGGGCTAGGAAAAAATAGAGGTACTTTGGATTAGGCAGAGGTTAGTGAAGAGAGGAGGTGTGTGGGGGTAGGAATGATAGAAGCTACATACATATATGATCACATGACTGGTGTAATTCTACATCATGTACAACCAGAAGAATGAGAAATTATACTCCATTTATGTATGATGGGTCAAAATGCATTCTATTGTCATGTATAACTAATTAGAACAAATTTAAAAATTTTTTTTAACTTAATTTTTTTTTACTTTGAAACAGGGTTTCACTAGATTGCTTACAGTCACGTTAAATTGCCGAGGCTAGCTTCAAACCTGCAATCCTCCTGTTTCAGCCTTCCAAGCTGCTATTTTTCTTTCTTTCTTATTGATGATTAAACCTGGAGGGCTTTACCACTGAACTACGTCCCCAATCCTTATTTATTTTTGAGAGGGTGTCACTAAATTGTGAGGATCTTGTAAAGTTGCTGAGGCTGGTCTCAAATTTGAGATCCTCCTGACTGAATCTCCCAAGTCACTGGGATCACAGGGATGTGCCACCATGCTCGGCTACACCAGTATTTTTTGTGTCAAGTGAGGAGGATGATCCTGGTCCCCAGATTCACTCTCACTCCTGCAGAAGTGACTGCCTTATCTCCTGGCTCCATGGCTGTCTGGGTCTAGGTTCTAAAAATCTGCTTCCCAGTTATAGTCTGATTCTGATTAGCTGAGGAGCAAGGCAAGCCAGACCAGCCTGCACTTTATAGTTGGCCAACTGGTGAACCTGTAAAGGGAAGCTTTCCCAGAGGATTCCAAAATAGCAGCCCGGCCTTTTGGGAAGTGGGGCTGCTCAATCAAAGCCAGGAAAGAGGGAGTGTCAGGGACTAGCAGAGGTGGATTTGGGGCTCTCACTGCCTCCACCAACATTCTTGACAGTGGGCAGTGCTTATCCTCTGCTCGGGGCCTGCTCCTGTTCTCTAAATAGCCTTATCCAACATCACAAATTTCCAGACCAGGGTGGGTTCTTTTGGTAACTCTTCTGGACTTCATAAAGGACCACACTCAACCCTGAAACAGCGGTGTGGATAATTCACAGCACAGAATAATAACAAAGTCCTTTACATCTGTTCTGCAGATGTACTATACATGTAGGTGTGTGTGCCCGCACGTGTGTGTAATTTTTCTTCCTTCCTTTTTGGAGTCACATTTGCTTTTCTAATTCTGTTCTCCTTTTTGGAACAGGTACCAGTTAATTGCTGGGTGCAAGAGGTCAGCACTATCATCAATCAATGTATGAGGGAGAGTTTTGCAGAGTTTCCAAATTCACCATGCATACTCTGGGCAATCCACCCACAGAAAAATTAGGAACTGTGGTTAATAATTCCAGGAGGACTATTTAGAGTGATGGACACACAGAGCAGCCTCTCTAATGTCTTCCTGCAGCAGAATTCCCAAGGACAGAGGAGAATTTCAGATGCCATACAGGTCGGGGGCCACCAAACCTAACTGGTGATTGCTGTTGCTTAGGAAACCTAAAATGAGAATTCACAAAGATCCCACTGAGCTTACAAAAACTCCCTGATATGGCCCAGCAATGTATTTTTTGTAAACTATAGTGATGATCTGAGTGGCAAACTGGTGGAGAACCTGATCTGCTGTGTCCCCTAAGCAGGTGGGCCTCTCTGCTGGTCTTCTTAGGATGACCGGGTCCCCAGCTCTTTCTGTTGATGTGCTTGAACATGCTTGTGACTCTCGTTCTCTACCCAGGAGCATTCGAGGCATCAGTTCCTCTCTAGGAGGACTCCAGGCCTGGGGTAGCTACCTTAGAGTTCGCACCCTCCTTTCAGTTGGCCTGTTCTGCAGGATGGTGGGGAGTAAGATTCTGGTGCCACCATGGGTAGAGACAGGAAGGAGTTTGGCAGCAGAGTCAGTTCCTGGAGCTCGTGGTATAAGAACTTAGACATGGTTCTCAGCTGCTAATATGGTGCATCTGGTGTCCCATGGTGGGGACTCAAAATATTTTGTTGAATAAATTAACAAAAGGAACATTTCCAGAGTATTTCAGGGGGACCAAAGGGTAGGAGATTCTGGCCAGGGTGTGGGGTGGAGGGTCTTTACCAGATTGTCCAGTTCTGGATCATCGCTGAAGAAGGGTTTGTGCTCCTGCTCCTGCTGGTGGACAAAGTTCTCGATGTCCACATCAAAGCTGGCGGAGGTGATGCACTCAGAGCCCTGGGTGGCCTGTTCACATTTCTCAAACAGCAGCGTCAGGAGCGGGAAAAGAGGGTGCCTGCGGGGACATCAAGAACTCACACATGCGCACACACAGAGACCGTGCTGCTGGCTGGGCTCAGAAGCCATCTGGTTCCTTTCCCCACATTCCTTCCCGTCACTTCTTCTCCCCAGGTCCCACTCCTTGAGAATGTCCCCAGCCCCCAGGGTCAACCTAATGGCAATGTTTGTGACCTGGCATAGAGGGTTCAGTCCCCTAGTACCTGGGACCTCAGAGGGCTCCTACTTTTTCTCTTTAGATAGATAAACTATACAGATGTTTGAAGAGGGATGAGCAGTTATAACCCTTCAAAGAAGTAAGTGTCCATTTCTGATTCAGAGTTGACTCAGGAAAGAAATATGGGAAATATCCAGAGAAATATAGGATGTGAACATCCGTAGGTGTCATCCCAGCTAAGACTCATAGAGTCATTTAAGTAAGTACTTCAGTTCACATATATACATCATAGAAACACACACACACACACAATGTCTAGAGCAACTGAGGGCAGCAGATGTACACAAACACTTGTATGTGGGGGATGTGCATGAGCCCAAATACTTGCCTACATGGTAGGCAGATGTCTCCACCTGTCCAGTGTCTGTTGGCAGGCTTGGTTTAGGTCAGATATCCCAATTATATGAGTAACATCAACCCTGCACTTTTCCGTCATCCTACTCTTAGCTCAGTGTTAATTAAATGATTATTTGCATCATTATGTGTTCACTGTTCGCCTCCAAGGCTGTCCCTGTGTTAATGATTGTTGTATCCCTAGATCTTGTCAAAGCAAGTATATATAAATATTAGGTGACTGAATGAATCAATGAATGCACTGTGTGTGTGTGTGCGCGCACATACACACACACACACATTCTATCATGTATGGGCATGTTTCTGTGAAGTATATGTGTGAGCTGAACTCCTTACCTAAATGGCTATATGGGTGTCATCTTAGAGATCACAGATCCCTGACTTCCTCCAAATGCTGATAGTTTCTAAGTTGTTTGTTTTATCATCTTCCTTCCTCACTTAGACTGTGAGCGGGAATCAAGTGCACCTTATTCATCTAGAGTCAAGTAGAGGTATGTGGATCTCCACAAATATTTGTTGAATATATATGTTATATGTATACATACTTATTTTGCATACATAAGTGCATACCACATTTATTTCTGCAGCATATTTCATGCTAGTGCCTGGGTTGTTGACCCTGAACTCTGGAGAGCCCCATTCTCTTTCCCTACAGTTCCAAAAAAAGCATTCACACATCAGTCTCTGGTCTGTCTCCTCAGACTCTTGGGACCATGAAATGCAGTTTTCTTTTTGATGCAGCCCTGCTTGCTTGGAGAGAAGGAATGTGTACTGTACCTGACCCCTGGGGTCTCTTCCAGAGGGAATGCTGTAGCCATCACTGTCCAATAGAACTTTCTACAGTGATGGAAATGTTCTGTAATCTGCACTGTCCAATACAGTAACCACTAGCCACATGAGGCCAATGAATACTTGAAATATGACTATGCAACTAGGATGCTTAATTTTTTATTTTATTGAATTTTAATTAATTTAAATTTAAATAGCCACATGTGGCTAGTGGCTACCATATTGAAGGACACAGTTAAGGTCTGAAAAGGAAAACAGACAATGCTTTTCCCCTCTGGCACACTACAGTTGGACGCACTGAGAAAGAATTGAATATACAGCCTACACAGTATATACAGCATTTGTAAGTGAGTAGGGGAACCCCCAAGCTCCTGTCCCCTTCCAGAATTCTTACAATTCTGGACAAAAGACATATAATGGTTACCCCCACTGCTGCTCATTCTCACACTGTATGGGTTTTTCTACTCGGGCTCAGGCAAGATGGGAGACGAAAAAAGATAAATTCCCACTTCACATGAATTGCTAGGCTTCGCAGAGGCTGCCCTCAGACACTGTCTCCCTAACCCTTGTTTTGGGAGCTGATGCATAAATTCCTGGGCCTCAAGGCTGCAGGTTAGATGTACAGTCTGTAGGGAAAGAGGGTCAATATTTAAGGGTGGCTCATCTGCAGCCTCAAATTACCAGAAGATCTATTGAGCCCTGGTAGAAAGCTGGCAGGGAAAAACAATGGGTGAGTTTAGCCATCTGGCTGAAGACAAAGAGAACACCAGGTGAAGGGGTTAAACTCCAGTATAAGTCTTCATTTGCAGCCACTAATACTGCAGCATATTATAGTCTAATCTAACCTGATCCCAGTTTAATGCAAGATTCTCCTGGCCCTGAGTGGAATACCAAAGAAAGCCTCAGTGGCTGTAATTTAAGCAGAGCCCTGCAGTGGTTTAGCTGAGGGCCATGAAAGGCAAATTCCAGACGGTGTTATGAATTATTGCGCCTTATGAACCTTCCTACTCTCAACAGATGCCTGCTGCCATTTAAACAGCCACTAGATCAATTAGGAATGAAAGGCACAAATCGACTCTGTACAAGGGCACTAAATTACCAGGAACTAATAATCCGCAGCATCGTGCCAGGTGGTGGGGGTGCAGCCCCTGCCCCAACCCACGGCAGCCGCGGTCACTGCACATTCCTTTCTCACTGACTGGAGGGAGGGTGCACAGCCGCTGGGTGGAGAGATGATGGGGTGTGCATGCATGTGTATGTGTGTGTATGTGTACACATGTGTGCACTGGTGTTGAATGCAGACTGCCAATAGAACAAGTATAGGAGTGCCATGTACCTCCCAGTGTGTTTTCACCGTGTGCACCCATGGTATTGTGTTTGTGCAGGACGTATGCACGTGGTATTGCATATATGCAACAGGGGGGTCGATTTTGTGTGCCACAAATACCATGTGTACGTGCGTTCTGTGCATTATCTGTATGTCTTGTGTATGTGTGGTTGTGTGTTCCTGTGTACACCATGTGAGTGGCATGTGGGGTGGGCAGGTGTGGTCTGTTGTGACTAGAATCATCCCAGCTAGGAGCACTAGGGGTGGGGAGAGGGGAAGAACATCTCTTCTGCTTCTGTCCTTGCCCCCCAAAAGGAAGAAGCGGTCTGGGAGGGCCTCTCTGAGGAGGTGACATTTAAGTTAAGCCTCAAATGATGAGGGGGCAGTCATGCAAAGAGCTGAGGGACAGGCATTCTAAGCAGGAGGAAAAGCAAAGAAAGCACTTGAGACAGGAATAAGCCCAGTTTGCTTTGGGAAGAGAATCTAGGTGAGAGAGGTAGTAGGAAGGGACGGCAGAAAACAAGCAGCAGAGTCCAGTGCCTGGAAAGACTCAGGTGGAGCTGGGCTTGTGGGATGAGGTAGGAGGTGCTCTCACACACACTGGGGAACAATGCACACCTTTTGTGCAGAGCCAGGAATAGGTCTGTGTTAGAAACCTCTTCTACTCACAGGTGTCAGATCTCCCTCTCCCAGAATGGTTTTTTATTTTATTTTTTTCAGTGCTGGGGATGGAGTCCAGGGCCGCACACATACTAGTCAAGTGCTCTACCACTGAGCAATGCCCCCAGCCTCCCTGTAGTGTCATCTATGGCTTCTCCTATCTCTAAGAAGGGAACATGCCACCTGTCTTTCCCCCCAAGTTAACCAACCATGGAGTATAGGGTGGACTTGATGGAGGTTGCCTGGCCACATCTGTCCAGCGCTCCTTACCTGAGGATTGGGCAGGTGCTCTCTTCTCATACCCCATGCTTCTGTGCCAGCTTCCTCCCACCCATCCTAGGAGTCCCATCTGCCTCATGGAGATCATATGAAGTCTGAGTTTACTCACAATTTTCCACATGACCCATACCAGGGCCAGGAGGGACTGCCTATAGCTCCCACTCCCTGTCCTCCTAGATCACTCAAATGAACCCAGACTGCTATCTGCTCATCTGCCACCTAAAGCACTGGCACTGCTGAGACAATGTGCTAAGTTCCATTGCTGCAGCTGTGGGACTTCTCTAGGACTGTTCCCAACCCAGTTACGGGAGTCATCTGCCTTCTCCCCAGTTGCCCTGTTCCTGCCTAAGGGTTGACCTTTATTTTTAAAGCTACCCTCCAATGGATCCCTCATAAAACGGAGATGAGGCCAGCAGGCACCCTCAAAGAGTCTTTTCCAGCAGTCTTGGTGGAAGGCTCAGGGGTCACTCTGAATAGGGCAGGGTCTATGAGAGCTGGCATATAAGCCACCTGAGCCAAGAATACCCTTCTCTGATTTCCCATTAGATGTGGGACCTTGGCCTTCTGGAGCCTCAGTTTATCCAACAAGAATATTTTCCCCTGCGGTGCTGGGGATGGAATCCAGAGCCTCACCCATGTTAGGCAAGTTCTGTACCACTGAGCTACACAACCCCAGGCCCAGATCATGGGTTTCAGGGAGCTCCTTCTCTGGGTGTCCAGGACCTTCCACTGTAGATCATCATCTTTCAGGGGCTAGAAGCAGGAATGTAGAAACTCAGTCCCCAGTGCCCAGAAGGCAATGAACAAGATATGAGAGATGGTCATTAGACTTTATTTCCAAAGAGCTGAGGACATTTGACCTCCATGAGAGCTCACCTTCCCCCTCCCAGATCCTTTCCCTGCTCTGCTCCCCTCAAGCCGCCTCCGTGTGACCGCCCCCTCCACCCCAATCTCTCTTAAGCCGTTCAAAATTTGGAGGAAATAAATCTCACTGCACTAATTCAGTGAGAGTTTGAGCCTCGTCAGTGCAGAACAAATAAAAGGAGTGAACTGGCATGACATTTTACTGCAGAAGAGAGGTCGTTTCCAGCCACTAATAAAAAGGATTTGACACAGACTAATAAAGAGAAATGAATTTCTCTAATGGCCTAATTTAGCACATTCAGCACTGTGCCTCCGCCCTGGTGCTGGGAGCACGGACAGAGACAGGAGGGAGGGAGTGACGAGGCTCGGGCTTGGGGAGACAAGAAGAAGAGATGATCTCAAATAACATTTTATTATTTCTTTTTTCTTTTCCAAGCCCCCTGCCCCACCCCCACCCTCATCACCTCTCCCCAGGAGCATCCAAACTAAAATCAAGCTCAAGATATGC